AGGTTATTTAACTGACTAAGGTAGAAACTGAGCAAAATCAGCATGAATGGAAGAACTGATTGAGGTTTTTGGGATCAGTGGTGGTTCTAGAGTTTTCCAGCTGCTGGGAGGACTTCAATTTCAAAATCTTTTAATGTCTTTAAACGATCTTTGAAAGCGTTGGTTTGTGAGGTTTGCATAAGTTATTTTGCAGCATTTAAGTTCCTTTTAAGGCACCATGCAGAGGCAGTCAAACAGGTTAGCACTAAAAATACTACAATTTAAAAATTCACACAGGGACAAAGACATTTGGTTTTAGAGATGTGTCCTGTGTCCTATTATCAAAACTTAAACTGAAATATTTGTCCATGAAGATTATTTTTGGCCAACTGTTAAACACGGGGAGGGCTGCATTGTTTTATGGGGGGGTTGTTCTGCAGGAGGAAGTGGGGCTTTTTACAATACAGCTGGTTTTGCTGTAAGAGGCAACATGAAACCGAACAATCAAAAGCAGCTAAATGATACTAGCAGTTATGCTGGTGAAGATTCTCAGTCCTCCAGGTCACACACTGCAAATAAAATGTTAATCTCATTAAGTCATTTTTTACTAAAATAAGTACATTTTTTTTCTTGAATTGAGGGGGTAAGTGAGACATTTTGCCAATGAAACGAGACAATTTACACTTAAAATAAGAAAAAAGAACTGCATTGTCTGCAACTGCAATTATTAGTGCATATTATCTAATTAACTTATTCTAAGAGTAAAAAGACTCATTCCATTGGCAAACTATCTTATTTTCCTGCTCAAATAAAGAGAAAATTCATTTAATTTAAGGCATTTTCACTAATTTCTAGATAATTTTTCCAGTGCAGTCATTACAGCAGCGAGCCAACTCAGTCACAGCAGTTCAGTCAGAAGGGGGCGCAGTTCCTCTTGTGAGAAGCTTGAAGGACACCAAATGCATCCTAGGTGACTCAAACACTTAAAACAACAATGTGTAAAAATGTTTTTACTCAGTTTGTTTCACACAAGTCAAATTCTCTCCCAAGGTTTATTAAAGTATGTGTAATTTGTTTGACTCTGACAACCTTCACAGTTTTTTCCTTCACCGTAAGTAAAGGAGAAAAACTCTGCCCAGTCAGAACGGGGCTGATTACTGCGCCGCATGATGAACTGTTCTCTCTTTGCAAAGATATGAAAATAAAGTACTGACTGAGTGAAATCCATTGATCTCCGTTTATTTAACTCGGGTGAATACTTTTTCCCCACTACAGGACCAATCAGTAACCATGTCGGTTCCAGCGCAGATCATCATTAGAATTTCTTCGGGTATTAAGTCTTCAGTACGGGGGCCATAACATGATCTACAGCGTCACAGAGCAGCTATATTAGCGCTGACATTAGGTTACACACAGATGGACTGTATTTAGTCAAATATCAGGGAACTTCTGAAGGCACTTGGTTCCAGTCAGTGAAATGGGGGCTGAATACTTTTGCATTCTTCACTCGGCGGCTTTTTATTTAAAAAACAAATGTCTTAAATTGTTTACAACTTGCTTTCTACTTCACATTTGTGTACCACTTTGTGTTGGTCTCATACAGGATACTCCAATAGAAATACATCTACGTATATTTGTAGTTTCAATGTGAAAAAACGTCAAAACATTCCCACCTTATTCAAATTCAAGGCCTTTTCTTTTACATTTAGTGGAAAATGCTTATTATAAATAAATGTATAC